TCTTCCTAAGTCATTTTGGGGAGAAGCAGTTGGAACTGCTGTGTACTTGATAAATAGAGCGCCATCAGTTCCTTTGGAGTTTGATATTCCTGAGAGAGTATGGTTTGGGAGAGATCCTTCTTATTCCCATTTGAAGGTGTTTGGATGCAAGGCATTCATGCATGTACCGAAGGAACAGAGATTGAAGCTTGACTTCAAGACTTCTCCTTGTGTCTTTGTTGGATATGGTGATGAAGAGTTTGGTTACAGACTTTATGATCCAGCAAAGAAAAGAGTTGTGAGGAGTAGAGATGTTGTATTTTACGAGCACGAGATGGGTTTTCATCTCTTAGGTGCTGGTAATACCTATTATCCTAATTTATCTCATGGTGCTATTGATATGTCTCATGTTTCTATTCCAGATGTTCAACAAACAGGTGATGCTCCCGATGATGGTCATGAAAGTACTCATGAACATGACCGTATTGAAGAGGTACAACCAGAGATTGTGCCACAACCTGATGATGAAGCTGTTGAAATAGAAAGTGGAGAGTCTTCTAATCAGGGGGAGCAAAACAGCCCAGAGGTGGAAGAGCCAACATTGAGAAGGTCAACCCGAGTTCGACAACCTTCAAGACTTTATCCAAGTTCAGAATATATCCTACTCACTGATGAGGGAGAGCCTGAAAGCCTTAAAGAGGTCTTGTCACATCCAGACAAAGACCATTGGCTGAAGGCTATGCAAGAGGAGATGAATTCTTTGAAGAAGAATGAAACATATGACTTGGTGAAGCGTCCAAAAGGGAAGAAAGTCTTGAAGAGCAGGTGGTTGTTCAAGAACAAGAAAGATGACCATAAGCTAGGGAGACGGAAAGCAAGACTGGTGGTGAAGGGATGCCATCAAAAGAAAGGCATCGACTACGATGAAATTTTTGCACCAGTGGTGAAGATGACTTCCATTCGCATGATTTTGGGACTAGCGGCTTGTTTGGATCTTGAGCTTGAGCAGCTTGATGTAAAAACTGCATTTTTACATGGTGATTTGGATGATGAAATTTACATGGAGCAGCCAGAAGGATTTGAAGTCAAAGGAAAAGAGAATTTTGTTTGCAAGTTGAAAAAGAGTCTTTATGGGCTTAAGCAAGCACCAAGGCAATGGTACCGTAAGTTTGATTCCTTCATGAGTAGCAACGGGTACAGGTGTACTACTGCAGATCCTTGTGTGTATTTTAGAAAGTTCTCTGATGATAACTTCATTATCCTTTGTTTGTATGTTGATGATATGTTGATAGTGGGACAAGATGTTGAGATGATTCGCAGGTTAAAAGAGGATATGTCAAAGTCCTTTGAAATGAAAGATTTGGGTCCTGCGAAGCAAATTCTTGGCATGGAAATTGTTCGTGATAGAAAA